TCTTTGAGGATAAGGAATAGGTGGTTTATATGGCGCTGGAGGTGCTTGAGTTTTTTCACTTGCGGTATCCTCCTTCTCATTGTCTTCCTTCTTCTCTAACTCGGATTCCTTTTCTACTTGTTCAGTTGGTTTTTGTTGCATGGCTGAGTTTTCGGTCCTTGGATCGATCGGTTCGTCCAATTCTTTTCCGCTTCTTAGTATTACAGCATTTGCTTGGCCTTTTGGATTCTGTTCGGGTTGTCCAGGAAATGTGCCAGCGGGTGCGGCAACAGAGGCTTGTTGTTGAGCCACTTGTGATATCTGTGTTTCTAGCATTTTGTTGTGGGTGGCTAAAGCGTCTACTTTTCCGGTCAACTGTTTAATTTGCTCGCTAGTGTGTATGTTTTGATTCAGGAATTCTTTGTTTGTTTGAGCTTGAGTAGCTATGAATTTTTCCATCATCAACTCGAGGTTTGATTTCCTAGGTGCAGTCTGAGCAGCAGCTGGTTTCTGATATCCTGGCGGAGCAGTAGGCATTTGCAATGCATTTTCGCTTTTGTAAGAAAAGTTTGGATGATTTCGCCAACCTGGGTTATAGGTATTTGCGTAAGGATTTCCTTGAGGATAATTTACCTGGTCTGGTGGGATTCCGGCTAGCAATGGGCATTCGGGCGCATTATGAGTGGTGCTTCCGCATAACTCGCAATTTGGAGTTACGGCAGCGACGGTTGCAGTGGGGTTAACGGTCAGACTATCAATCTTCTGTGCTAGAGCATCTACTTTAGCGTTGAACTTTTCAAGGCTGCTGATCTTGTACATCCCACCTTTCGTTGTGGTTTTCTCTGTTGAGTGCGTTCACCTCCCCATTGGCAATGGTTTTGAGACATGTTTTCGATTAATTGATAGGCTTCGTCGTATGACTTATCCATAAGTGCACCGCCCGCGGCGGCGTCTATTGTCAATCTAGTATTGTATAAAAGCCCATTATAGAAAGTATGGATTATCACCCAGTCTTCTAGACCATGGTGAGGACATGTTCTCATCATATCTTTGAATCGTTCCCATGCTTCGTAAAGAGATTCAGTATCTTTTTGTCGAAATCCGTTGATTTGAGCTCTAAGCATAGCAGTTTTGCTTGGCGGAAAATATCTCGCTAAGAAGACGTTCTTCAATTGTTCTCACGTCGTAACGGAGTTGGATGGTAAAGATTGTAACCATGTCCACGCTCTGTCTCTAAGAGAGAATGGGAAAAGACGAAGTCTTATCGCGTCTGGAGTTACTCCATTTGCTTTCACCGTGTCTGCGTATTGTACAAACTTCGTTAGATGTTCGTTCGGATCCTCAGTTGCGTTTCCTGAGAATTGGTTTTGTTGTACAGCTGACAACAATGATGGTTTTAGCTCAAAATCATTTCGGGTAATAGCTGGGGCAACAATGCTACTTCTAGGCTCCATCTGAGAGGGTGTAGCGTATGCCTTCAGCGGTTTGTTTGGAGGTCCTTCAGCCATCTTTGATTTTTCTTCGGATTTGGGAATGGGAGTGAGAGGATCGGGAATGTTATGTTTGAGTTGGTACTCAATGATTCGGCTTCTTAGATGTAAGAAGCGTTCTAGTTCTGCGACTGAAGGTTTCAAGATATCGCCTTGTGAGCGATTACTTGGCATACAATCAACAGCACTAGTAAAGGAAAAATGAAAATTGTTAACCTAGTCTATACGGCGTAACAGAAGGTTACACTATTGACTAAACAGGTCCCCGGCAATGGCGCCAAAAACTTGATCGCGACTTTCTATGTCTAATACAACCTAACTGCAAGTGCACAGTCTATCGCGTAGTAATAATATATATACCGATCCCACAGGGACTCGTAATCAAACTAGTGTTCTTGGGAGTTACTATGTTTAGCTAGGTAGAATATGTTTAAGGGAATAAGATTGTCACTAAAGGGAAACTAAGACTGTTACTTAGATTATAATTAATTGACTCGATATGCAGTAATTGTGTTCTTCCGGGATTTGACAAGTTACTGGTGTATGAAATAATTTTCAGAATTTATTTAAGCAGAAAATGATGATTTGAAGACTCTCGCCTCACGATGGTTATTGACGCTAATCATAATTCTAAGGGCCAAACGTACACTTTCGTATCCCATTCGGGGTTAAAATTATTTTTTGGAAATCTCTAAGTTCTAATTCATTTTAAAGTGCTTTCGCTGTTATTAAAATGAGTGACTAGTGTTTACTATCTGATCTTGCCGCAGCTTTCGCTTGTTGGTTCGTATCTTAATTAATTTCCCACTTTCGTGGCAAAACTACTTTTAAATAAGTTCTCGCTTTCGCGACGAAGTTTATTCAGTAAATTAATTTTAAACACTCAGACCATAAATTACTTTTGAAAAGACAATTTTCAACCGGTTATTATCAAATCCCTTTCGAATTATTACTACATATCGATTACCTAAATTCAGCTAGACATGGATTTGGGAAAGGTAAAATATAAATGAAAATGATAAATAATAATATGCAACATAATAAAACTGGAATTACGATTGAAATGAGAAACCTGTAAATATTCCAATTGGCCTTTGGGCAGATCCTCCACAGATGTTGGCAGGATTCTGGTCTTTATGCCAATTTGATCGTACAATGGAAATAGAAATTACAGAAGAATGAAAGGAATGCAGAAAAAGCAAAGAGAAATAAATAAGAATATTAAAAACTGGAAAGGTTGCTCTGAAAATAAATTGGCAGCACTTCGTTATATGAATGCGGCTCCTCTTTCTGAGGTCCCCTTCTTCCCTTTTTATAGAAATGGAATTCTAACGGTTATAATTGAAGAGGGTAGACTTTGAGGCAGAAAAATCAGGGAGTAGTGGTCCACTATTTGGGACTTGAAACTGCTTCCTTTACGTGAAACTGAAGTGGGGCGTTTTTGCCTGCATGACGGTCGTCACAAGGTGTGACGGTCGTCACCCCTGTGACGGTCGTCATGGAACTGTGACGGTCGTCACAGCAGCAAAATCAGCATTCTGCGCTTTTCATGATGTTTTCATCCTTTTTTCGTCCATATTTCATCTGAGATTGCTTCTTTTCTTCATATTGCCTTGTTTAGACGTGATCGTTAAATACCTACAAAACATCAGACAAATAACACGGAAATAACCCGAAATCGGATCGAAAACAATTAAGCTTTAGTTGAATTATGCATCAAAATATATATACGATTTTGTGTTATCAAATGCTGCCAACAGAAGATCCTGAGCGTAGCCTCCAGAAGGATCTGAAGCAGAAGCTCCAGAAGGATCTGAAGCAGAAGCTCCAGAAGAATCTGAAGCAAGTCAGAAGCATCTGAACCAAAGAAGAATTCTGTATGAAAAGTTTTCAAAGCATTGTTACTACAGAAGATTCTGAAAGTACTAAAGCTGCCAGTACTGAGGATCTGACTCAAATATGCTCTAAACTTATACACGCTAAAAGCACACCTGCTGCAAAGACTCTGATTCAGCAAAATTCTGATCAACATCAGAAGGCTCTGATCAAATTAGACTCTGATGATTCTTGCTGAAAATTGATGAAGAAGAATTCAAAGATTATGTCCGTTGGAATAATCCAAACGACTCTTTTCTTATTTATGCTAGACACAAGAACACAGACAAAAAGGATTTCTTTGTGCTTTCTTCTTCTAGGAAAAGTCACTTGATGTGAAGACAAAAAATGCTCAGACCTTTTGGGACACTCTTCTCAACGTGAAGTTCTCTTGGATCAAGCTGCCTATAAAAGCAAGTCTTCACCCATCTTCTTCAGTTAACGTTTTACCTGAAAAGAAATCAATATTCAAAGCTTTCATACTATTCACATTCTTTCTAGAGTTAATTTCTTTGTTCTTAATATTAAGTGAAAAATCACAGTTGTGATAAAGCTTTTTTAGAAGCAATTTAAACACTTGTATTTGTTATTACATTTGATTGTAAGAAAACCTTAAGAAGATCCAGTTAGGATCAGTAGTTCTTGGGAAGACTTTGAACAGTTGTTCTTAGTGCTTACTATTGTAATCAGTTGATTAAATAGTGGATTAAGTCATTGTTTGAGAAAGACAAATCACTATAGGAAGGGTGGACTGGAGTAGTTGAGTTCAACGAACCAGGATAAAAATACTTGAGTTTTTATTTCTAAATTTTTATCTTCATACTTATTCAACCTCACTTTTAAGTATTTTCTCACCTTCAATTTACACATAAGTTTTAATTCAATTTAACACTTCTATCAATTTTATAAAAATCCATGAGCCTAATTAATGAAAAGTCAATAACTTATAATTTTTGTGTCTCGCCAAAAGTGACGAAGCACCACAATCATACTGAAAAGTTAAATCACATTAGGAGAAACCATAGCACGTTAAAGATGTCCAACATTCACATGCCCTCCATATACAAATTTGACCCACTGTACTGCACTTTCTTTTAAAAAATAGGTTAAAACACATTGCACCAAAAAATAAAATAAAACCCTCCTCCAATTCTACCACATCACCACTTCAATTTTGTTCAAGGTTAATATATTTAAGATTACAATTTTACCATTTTGCCCATTTATTTTAGTGTAATTTTTTAGTAGTAGTTGAAAGTGTAAAATGAAATGATATGCACTGAAAAACGAAAAGAAATTAAGTCAAAAAGATAAAAGAAATAAAGGCGCAGTTCATTTCTGCATTCTTCACCGTTTCAAACCTTCCCGTGTTTTCATTTTCAATTTCAACTTCACTCTCGTTCATTTTCCCGGGAAAAATTCTGTTTATTTTTTCAATTCCGATAGAAAAAAAAAGAGGGTTTTTGCGTCTACCTCGATCGCGGTTTCTGTCCTACCAAATCCTAACACTGTTATCAAAATTTAAGAGCACGAGATCCCGAAATTCAATACAGGTAGGTCATAATCCATTACCTACCGTTTTTGTTTCTCTCTTCTTTAACATTGTCATTCAATTCATGCATTTTTTTTTTGTCTTTCTGGTTAGGGATTTCGTGTATGGATCATATTATCAAGTTCTTCCTCTTGCTGTTTCTCTTTGGGTTAGGTATATCGATTAACCTTTTTTTTTTGTGTTTTTGGATTAGTATTTGTTTGATTTTGATTTTTTTTTTGTGGCAGTGAGTATTAGTTTTGCGGAAAATGATTTCGGACAATGTGAAAGAGTTGTTAAGAGCTGGGCGAGTTCTTCGCTTGATAGAGAGATTAGACAGAAAGATAAGCATACGCTTAAGGATTTGTTATTTTTCTTGCATGTTCCGAGAACGGGAGGGCGCACTTATTTTCACTGGTGAATTTCAGTTTGAGCTTTTTCTATTGAGCAGAATTTATAGACCTGTTTGTTTGATGCCGTTTGTGTTTTTTGTTTTTATGCAGCTTTTTGAGAAAATTGTATCCTGGTTATTTGGAATGTCCTCGGTCGTATGATAAGTTACGCTTTGATCCAAGGTGATGCCCGGATTTTTCGCTCATTATGACTGTATTTCTTTAATTCTTGCTATTTTGTTTTTTTTTGTTAAAAGAATCTAGAATGATTGTTTTGGTTATTCGTAGAGTTAAGTTGGTGTCATTTCCAGTGAGTAGCCCTAAACTAGTACATCTGTGGGCTTATGGCTTTTGTCGCCGTTGCTTTTTGATAATATTAGTCTAAATAGCTTTTGAGGAGTGTCTTAGATAACTCTCATTTAAGCTGCTGTGATTATTAAGAAATCTTTAACGCCTAAAAAGGTATTTGGCATTTCTTAACTTGTCTGATGTTTACTATATCCTGGTTTAGATTCTTGTAGTTTGTGGTTTAGCATTGCAATAAGATTCTCTGTAAATGTAGATGATTCCTGAAGCGTTATCTGTCAGTCTTTTGATACACTGATTTATATAAAGTCACAGCTGCATTCATAGCAATTCTACACGACGAAATAATGACAGATCACTAGAGTTGTTTTTTGTTCGATTGTAAAGCGTAACAACTTGCACTAGGTTAAACGAACTCATATGCAAAGAAAAATGTAAAGCGTAACAACTTCCATTTTAAAGTTTACTATTTAATCCATCTTATATTGCTTATTTTCTGTTGTTTACGTGTATTTGCAGCAAAGAAAAATGTAGACTGTTAGTTACACATGATGACTATAGCATTACGTCTAAACTTCCAAAGGATAGAACTTCTGTGGTTACCATACTTAGGGATCCGGTTGACCGTGTCTTTAGTACTTATGAATTTTCAATGGAGGTTGCAGCTAGATTTTTGGTGCATCCAAACTTGACATCTGCAACACAGATGGCTTTACGCTTGCACTCTAAGGCGAAAGGAATAAGCACATTGGCTATCTGGCCGTGGAAGTATCTGGTTCCGTGGATGAGAAACGACCTATTTACTAGGGTATATCTTATTTTATTTGTTGTTTGACATTTGTCTATTTCTGAATTTTATTTCAATGCTTTTAAGTTCAGATAAGGTTGTAAAAGAATCATTTTGTTGATACCCTCTAATCTGAACAGAGTATAACAAATTAATCTTTGACATAACTTTGCTTTCTTTGATATGTTCATAGATCTAGATTCGTTTAAATTTGCAAGTGTAGCCTTTCATATATTGTTGAAGATGGGAATATTAGTTGTAACTAAGTTGCCAAAAAGAAATTGATTTCATATCCTTACTTCATATGCTATTCTGTTGGCTAATGTGTTGTAGCATTACCACATGCTGGGCATGCTGGGTGATACTCTTTGGCCTTTATACAACATCAACAACAACAATTTGTATTCCAATGAGTGGGGTCGACTATATGGATCAAACGACACCATAATGTTCTACTTCTATCAAATAGCATACTTCTGTCCAGCTCATTAATCTCTAGATCTCTCTTAATAGTTTCTCTTAGTTTTTTCAAATCTTCCTCTACTTCTAGCAGTTTAACTACCCTTTATCTAATCTTTCCTCCTTACTGTAGACTCTTCTCTCTACATGTTCAAACCACCCAAGTCCATTTTCCTCCATCTTTTCTACTATAGGTGCTACCCTAGATCTCTCTAATATTGTCATTTCTAATCTTATCCTGTTTAGCCTTACCAACATCCATCCCAACATCCTCATGTCTACTACACTTGATTTATTTTCGTGTTAGTTCTTTATAGCCCAACACTCTTTGGCCTTTATTCTTCTAAAATTTGTTCGTCCCTATTTCCATTTGATGCACGTGTGATTGATTTAGACCTTAATGGACAGAGGGCTGCTAGGTATAGTAAGGGATTGAATGCCACTGATAGCAGTGATCCCTATGATATGGAAGATTTTGCAATGCCGTTACAAGAATACATCAATCATCCTGTGGCATGGGATATTGTACATAATGGAGCCACATTTCAGGTACTTCTGCATGTGTAATGTGTTTTTTTTTTCCTCCATATTATTGAGATTCATGCTTCACAATCTCTGTAAATGCTATGATTGTTTAACTGTTTTCTGAAATCATTGTTCAAATAGAATTTATTGCCTGGAACCTGTTTTCTATTTTGATGGCACTGATTATTTCCTCAAAAAATATGGAAGCATTTTCTTAAAGCCAAAAAACCCTTGTAATCACCTATTTAATTATTAGATGATTCAATCATGGCGTATGTGTCGATGCCAAATTCCATAACTTTCATTGGAATATTAATTTGCTAGCAAGATGGACATGTAGAGTACTTCATTTTAGTTGTTTATCCTGCAAATTGGAATCCCCAATTACAATTGAAAAGCTCATGTCTCTTATTTACAGAATGTCTTTGGTAATGATGTCAAATATTTGTAATAAGTTTGGTGGATCGTTCTATCATCAGGTTGCAGGTTTAACAAACAACTCTTATATAGCAGAAGCACATGATGTGCGTCATTGTGTACAGAAATATAAGATTCTCGGTAAATATGTGCTACAAGTTGCAAAGGTAAATTTGAAGCTTTGATAGTTGCATCTCATAGTTGTTTGCTTCTCTCAACTGCTCCTTTCCTCAATCCTTTTATAGTATGTACGTGTACATTTTGCAGATGAGACTGGACGATATGTTATATGTGGGTCTTACTGAGGAGCACCGAGAATCTGCGACAATGTTTGCAAATGTTGTTGGTTCTCAGGTTATATCACAGCTTAATGCACCAAACACCAGCCTGGATACTATTGAAAATATAGGTTAGTGGGGTTTAAATGTTTTTCTGTTTCTCTCAAACTTTTATCTCATGTTAGAAGGACTGAAAAGTCTTCGGGAATGCTACAGAATTTGGAGCCTGAAGCTAGCGCTCATATTCTTGCATTCACCTGGACATGTAATATTTTCAGAAGATATGGGTGGGTGTGTCAGATATCATGTTTTGAAATGACGTTTGGCTGTGTTTTGATGTTGACAGTTGTATTCTTTGACATTCAATGTGTTTTATTTTAATTAACATCTGACAATTGTTATGTACTTGTACAACAGAAAAGAGTTCATTTTCAGATGCTGATTCTGACAGCAGTGAACATCAGGTAAGAAGCTTATCTTGGATTGAGGAACTTAGTTATTGAGGTTTGAATATGGAAAGCATTCTTACAATGTTTCTGACTGCGAGACAGAATATCACCTCGGACAGGGGAGCAAGTAAGACCACTTCAAATGAAAGTGGAGAAGCATCAGAATCAACTGTAAGCTTGTTCCCTTAGCAATTGTGGTGGTTTTATGGACTTGCCATATGTTATCAGTTTCTCATTTTATCAGCCTGCTGATATTTCATTGATTTCAGATGACTGTTGGGAAACTCATGGATTCTTATGAAGTCTGTATTTCTAATTTACGGAAGTCCCAGTCTAGTCGGCGCATTTCCTCTTTGAAGAGGGTTCCGGTGAACTTTACGAAGGAGGCAAGCTTAACAAATCCAATGCTATCATAATATCATTCTATAATGCTTTCATCATCATATGTGGTGTGGATATCTATTATTTCTATTCTTTCTTAACCCACTCATTTAGTGTAGACATCTACAGCTGACTGGGATATGTATTTCTTAATTAAGCCTGTATTTCAAGTTACTTAATCTTCAGTTTCAAATTTATGTGTACAGTCTGGGATGATAACTTTTGTATCGCTAAAATTTTTTCACGAGCTTTCAAAACAAGTTGAAGTATTTAACATGGACATATGCGTTAATTTTAGCTGGAAATTTTATGAGTCAGTGATAATAGTTTCTTCACAAGATTAAAACATATCCCTTCTGATTTTCTATTTTATTTTTATATTTTGAAAGTTCTTGCAAGCTAATAAAATTTATTATGTGAAGCACATTTACTGCATATCCTTCTAGTTTGGGGTTTTGGTGGTGCAGAACATCATGTATGCAATGATGGCATGAATGATAAACATGTTTTACATTTACATATCGTTTCAATGTCTATTGCTTTGCTTTTTATATGTATCTCTTATCAATGGCATTGAGTTAATGATACTATTTGACAAGTGTTATATTGTTTTATAGCCTTCTATCAACTTTACTTCTGTGTTATCCCTTTATAATGATTTTTATGATTTTACAGGCACGGCATCAAGTTCCTGAAGATATTCTCAGGCAAATACGGTCTCTTAATGATCTTGACTTGGAGCTCTATGAATATGCAAGAGCCATTTTCAATAAGAAACATAGAGGCTCATTGCTAATTACTGAGGTATAACTGTTAAGTTTGATATATTCTGTCTCTTTGCTAAATGGTTAGATAATCTTATCCATGGTGGCAAAAGATTGGGAGTCTAAATGTTAAAAGGCTTTAAACAAAATAGGGAAATGCTAACAAGTGCCCCCGGACACTGGTTATGAGATTAAAAAGGTAAATTGAGCATTAAGAGATTAAAAATACATGTTTTTTTTAAAAATATGTGTATTCAATTCACTGAAAACATAAATAATTAACTTTTTAAAAGAATCTTGTGTGAATGAACTAAACATATAATATTTTTCTTATTTGGAATTACTGGTTAGCATGACCCAACAAAATATGATCAGAATAGAGTTAATTATGTATTAGTGTGATAAAATAGAAAAACCATTGGCGCTAAAGGTAAAGTTACTGAATGAGACAACTTTATTCATCTTGTCTTAGATTTTACTGAAACCATGTCTAATTTAATTTTGGAAACTTGCTATACTTTATAACAAAGTTTGTGTGAATTATTTATCTGCATGTGTTATCAACGAGCTAGAGTTTATATGCATAAACAAGATAAGAAGTTATGATATTTAGATCTCTACTTGTTTATGCAAGCTAGATGTTATCATGACTTGTGCTAAAATCTTCCGACTTGAAATTTGATTTTGAGTTCTTTTGCTGTGTTAAATTAAACTACAGGAGAGATTGTACAACATATCAACTAGCGCATTTGGCTTCATCCTCTGGAAGTTTCTTACAGTAGCAATAACTTTCTTCTTCGTCCTTTTCTTATTCTTACTGATTGTAAATGTGAGAAGAAGAACGTTTAAGGTTAAGAAGTAAAGTAATTGAATCATATTTTTGCGGGTTTACCCACTCTAACACGGAATCTAGAGAACAAATCTATTTAGACAGGATTCCGTTCAGCTTTGTTTTGAGTGGTTCATATCCCTTCTCTGATCTTGTAATTCTGTTCAATGTTTTGTCAGCTGATGGGTGGAGTTATGTTAGGGGACAGCTTTGGGAGGGAAGTGTTTTGAAAGACTACTATATATATTTGAAATTTTGAAAATTGAAAAATATCATGAATATATTATAATCACATAACAATTCATTAACACATTTTATTCATTTTAAAATATATTCTCTAATTTGCTGAATTTATAAAAGAAAAACCAATCATTTCCTCCCAAATCTTCCTCTTACACAAACGCATGGGCATTTCCTTGTTATTTTCATTTTTCTTGAAAATTCTACCTTTTCATTTACTACAGTTTGTCAAGAGTTAACGAACGAGTCACCATTATAGTCTATCGCTATTTTGGTTGTCAAAATTAGTTTGAATGTTAAATTATTACAAAATACACAATCACTATAATAAATATGATATCAATGCATGATTCTCAACATTTTATTTAACAAATATGACACTTATTAAATATGATGGGAGGAGTAAAATATATGGTTATTTCATGGTTTGAAATGGTAAAAAAAATTCAACATTTTATTTAACAAATATGCCACTTATTAAAGAATGACGCATCAAGTTCAATCATATGAGGCGTGGAAGAAATTATTGTGCAAATTGGTTAACCAATCTAGTCTTAATCAACAATGAGCTCTTCATTCCTGCAAATGTTTAAACGCATGAATTGAAGATCATTTTATAAGTTCTATTTGCATGACATATATTACTAAATTTTTTAATACTATTTTAAATTTATAACTTAGACCAATTTTATTATAGACTGTTCTTTGATTACCTAAAATGAGATTCAAATTATCTTTTCCTTTCATAAATTTTGTCAAGTGTGTTATGCATGTCATCAATTATATTTTCAACAAGATTGCATATTTGACCAAAGATGGATTTGCCATAATTCTATGAAAAGGAGAAGAAAGGGAGCAAAAGTTTTGGATTAAAATTCTTTGTTTTCTCTAAGACAATCTATTTCTTCTAATAACATTTTATTTTCTTTTTCAAAAGAATAATTATTTCTTCTAATCAAACATTTTTTTTAATTTACTTGATTCACTATCTAACTTTTTACATATGATAAATAACTCATTACATGTAAATTCAAAAGTTAGATAATTTATCTTATTTTTTACATGGTTTGTCATGTGACAAATATAAGTTTCTTCCTCTTTTTTAGATTCATCGGAGAGTCCATGTCGTTGTTGTTCCATGCAATATTAACTATTTTTTTAATCTTTTTGTAGTCATTTTAGATTTTCTTTAGTTCTACGGATATTCTGACTTTATGTGACATTTCTTTCCGAATTATAAGCAAGTTAGCATGACGATTAATCTTTCTTTACTTTGCTTTTGAAATTTTGAAATTTGTTTTTTGTGCCTTTGAAATTCATTGAAAGTTCAAAACATAAGATCCATGTCTTCATCACTTTCACTTTGACAGTTTTTTCTTCTAACTCCATACTTATGGCCTTTATAATTTTTAGTACTAGAATTTTCTTCCTTTTGTCTTCTTCATGTTGACATAGTGACTCAAATTATAAGAGAGGAGAGAAGGTGAATTGTGATATTCAAATTTCCTAAAACCGTTTTATAAAAACTCTTTGATTTAAAAAAACGTTTATGTTAAAAGAGAAAAATAGACAGAAATGAAACAACTAAATAATAAAAATGAGAAAAGATAGATAAAAAAAATAAATAATAGAAAGTAAAAGAGATAAGGGACAGAGATATCACACCAAAGATTTATCTGGTTCGACTTAAGTTAATTGACCTACTCCAATCCCCAAGTGTTTTTCCTTGAGATTTCCACTAAAACAAACTTGAGCTTTTCATAGAATCAATCCAACAACCGTACAAACAACTTGAGCATTTGCACATGATCAACCCACAAACCTTCTGCTAACAACCAAAGCTTTTATACAGGCTCTGATGAATGACCTTCACCCAAGCTTTTTTTAGGTTTACCTTGCAACCTTCATGTCAATTATAAAGATACAAGAAGAGAACTACACTTTTGAATAAGAAACTATAGTGAAATATCAGTACAACACGTCTCTTAGATGATAATTTTCACTTTTTTGACACTAAGGCACTTTAGTGAAAAAGAAATTTATAAAAGAATGAGAGAACAAAAGAATAATAGAAAATTACTATTCTGAAAAAACTAGTGTGTTTTAAAATGAGTGAAATCCTCCTTTATTTAGAAAATAATATGGCTCAAAGAAAACAATCTATGAGCCTTTTTAATGGTTTAATAGATTAACACTATGTACTAATCGATTAACCAAGATAAGATAGAAAAGTTTGAATTTTAATGTCACTTAATTAACTATCAGCTACCTTAATCCATCAGGAGGTGTTACACTTTGATCTAATCAATTATAAGTATAACACCCTAGTCTCCCCATTCATTTAATAAATAAAAATAAGAAAATAATTTGCGGAATTATCAGAGTTACACAAGTAGGATGCCACATCACTAAAATCTCATGAGGTATCAAGTCACTTCATATTTTTATTCCTCATAAAAATAAATTAAACAGCGGAATAATTAAATTGTTCACTTCAACAACACTAAGGCTTTAACAACATAAAACTTCCACAAAACTCGTGGTTCAACATAGTTTGGAAAAGTACAATATGTAACAAATGAAAAACAACACAAATAAATGACAAATCCACATCCTTCTCGTGTTACTTATCAGAGCGACTCCTAAGACTCGGTCAATAATAGCACACGCTCCAAGTACTACTCAGGTACCTGATTATCTGTACTTCTCAAGGAGCACATACACAATAATAGAAAAGGGGTGAGAATTACATTCAATAATTTTACGGTGAAAATCACATGCTAAGGAGTAGTATTCATACAATTCACACCAATCAAACAATCATAACGCACATACGAGTGTCATATCAACACTCGACATATTTAGCTCATATTCAATCATACATATATGCAATATGACTCGATTGATACTACACCATGCATACGATACCAACACAGTCCATATGGTTCACTCTTTGAACCTGATTCCTATCTGAATCTGAATAAGTTGTATACGTTCATCTGAATCACAACTTATCTCCACTTGACTCCCACATGGAGTCCGGACGAGACTAGGCACCCATCATGGATTCCCACCTAGACTCGTCTCCACATGACGCAACATGAAATGCATGACATCCAATTATGCATAATATAATATCATTTATGCATAACACACGATTCATAATGATCACACGCGAGCCACATGCTCACCGTAATTCTTTCTGGAATTACCATCTCTGCCTAAGACTGTCACATAACAATAATTTTAGCAACACAGGCATCAATCGCACATAGTAAAGAAAACCACACAAACATTCCATGTTTTATCGTATTTACTATCATTATCGTTTTTCCCATGTCTAATTATGTCACATTAGTCTTACAAACCAAGAGGAGTTGCATCGCACACAAAATCGGGAAAGAAATAGCAAAAATAGGAAATTCACAACACAACCCTACCCATACCTGTATGGCCCTGCCCCATACACATATAACCTTGTTTCGTCGCCCCAGGTGCCCAACCTTCATACGCGTAATGCCTCAGGCCTTACGTGTATGACCAGAGGGGATTTTCCTCCAAAAAGCCCCCATACGCGTAATGGGCTTGCCAAACACTTAACGCCCACTCCCTTACGCGTACCGGAAGAGGGTTGTGCTGGTCATGGGGACAAGGCGCATACCATACGCGTATTGCCCCTGGGAACGTCACTTATACGCGTATTGCCCCCTGGCATACGCGTATGGCCAGTATGCACAGAAAAATCAGTTTTTCGCAACAGTGCGATTTTTCACCCATTAACTTCTATTTTTGATCAAAAGCAACATTCACACCAGTATAATCCTAAAGTCTTTACTCTACTTCGTTAGCCTACCATTTTATCAAGGTTTTCTACAATTAGAATCATATTTTTGTGATCTCCTAAAAACCCATTTTTCCCAAATCCGTTTTCATGGTAAAAAAACAGCAATAATCCACCACAAATTACATGAATAATCAAACTAATATCAGTGCACAAACACGAATTCACAACAGCAGTCACATAAACATGGAATTCAAACAAGAAGGAAGAAGAATATTCATAAAATCCTAAGAGGGAAAGGAACCCTCACTATCCTCTCATGTTCTAATCACCATTAAATAACTCATTCTCCCCCTTACCTTAAAATCCTAAAGGCTTAAACACTTAAAAGATTCTTAAAGCTTCTTGGACTATTTTGTGACTATCCTTTACTCATTAATGATGGACTTTGAATTAGGTTCCTTGTGCTATGCTTTAGAGTTATATCTTGAGACTTTCGATCTTATTTACCACTTTGACCTTGAGTTTTCCTCTTGTGAAGTCTTGGCTTGGAGATTTAGCTTTCATCAGATGCTTGGTTATTTCTTTGCTTATTTTATTGTTTATCTTGTTGCTTGAGTCTAAAGGATGGGAGTTTTGACTTGTTTATGTCAAAGGCTTGTATCTTTGTTAGATCTTTCCTTCCTTAAATTTTATTTTATGCTTTAGGATTGTCTCTTTATCTCCTCCCTCTTCTTAAATTTTCAAAATCTTCTCCTTTTTTCAAAACCTTCTTTCTTTCAAACTAGAACATCTTTCATAATAAACATTGACTTTGTCAAGTGCATTTTCAAACTCGTTTTCTTTATAAATTCTAATCAATATTAACCATACTAAGACCATTTTCAAAAGACATAAAAAATATTGAACTCATTCAAATCATTTTGTTCCTTTTGCGCACCTTTTCCTTTTAAACTTTTTCATAAGGTTTAGACATGAGTTATTTTCATAGTTGAAATGTAATTTTCCTATC